AGTTTTGTGAGGGTTGTCGAGAGCTCCATACTTTCAGGATGTCCAGCTGAGGCAAATGACGTTTGATGTCGTCCTGGCGACTGGTCTTTGCTAGTCAGCGTGTCGGGTACCTGCTGCGGAACAGCGAGCGGCAGAGGGGTGAAAAGAAGAGTTGAAGAGGGGTCAGCAGTTGCGCTGTATTGGAGAGTGTGCGGATGAGCGGTGTGAAAAAACTCGTTGACCGGTCCGGAAATTTGATCGCTAAGTGTGCAAACGAGACTTTTGGCGGCATCTTGCGCTGGGCTGGAAGGCAAAAAGGCCGTTTGGAAAAAGGTGCAGGTCCTGGAGGAAGCGAGGGCGGGAGACAGTGACGAAGAGGATGCGGGGAGAGTCGCAGGGAAGGAAACCGGAGGGGTAGCGATAGATGGGCTTGCACATGTCTGGAAGAGCGAAGCAATGGTCGAAGAAGCTTCTGGTAGGTGCTTAGCTCCGTCTGCAGGGATTTCCATCCGGGATATTGCCATGTCATCAGGAAGGCAGGCAGTTGTGAAAGGATTCTGAGACGAGAGATTTAAAGCTGATGGCGACGGTGGAATTCCGTGGAATGAGGGAGAAGAGTAAGAGGAAGATGTAGGGGATGGGGAGCTGGCAGCATCTGAACCGGAAGGGGGGTGGGCTACGGATACATCAGTAGAATTCAAGCGTGAAAACGTATTCGCAGCTGTCGATGCCTGAACGCGCTCTGCTTCATGCTCCATGCCCGTGCTGGTGACAGACGCCGCGGGGTCTTGTGCCGTATCAAGCAGACGCATGGCCGCCGTCGATGCCTGAACGCGCTCTGCTTCATGCTCCATGCCCCTGCTGATCACCCAAGACCGAGGGATGGAATGTTGCGAAGTCGCAGAGGGGGTTGAAGCATTTTCTCGTCCTGGTTGTGGAAGAATCCGACCAGGGAAAGAAGGATTGCTAGTGGAGGAGTTGAGGAAGGTGGCAGCGGAGCCGCTCTGGGTTGAAGTTGGAAGGCGGGCAGTGTCAAAGAGACCCAAGACCGTGCTGGAGACCTGGGGCGGGGCCTGGGAGAGGGAGGAGGGGAGAGGGAAGCCAGGAGGGGTTCCATGGTTGGGGAAGGGAAAGGAGCTTGTCGTCAAGGGCAAAGTAGAGGGCAAGGACGGCCGGAGCCCGGTGTGGAACGGATTCGTTGGCTTCGAGGAAATTTCCCTGTGTGCGCGTTTGGGGCTCCAGGGAGTCTTGGGACGCTTGGTGAAGAGGGGGAGGTGTGTAAACGTATTCGGTGGGACCGTATCAGAGAGAAAGACACTTGGGTGAGAAACCTGAGGTTTTTTCTCGGCAGGGCGGAGGGAGGGTGGATTGTCCCCCATGTCATCCATAGAGGGGTCTTGGACAGTATCGAAAAGCTGCATGACGGTTGCGGATATTTGCGGTACTCGCATTGAAGGATCGGAGGAAGCCGAAGATCTTCCCGCAGCCGAGCGGCCGTCCTCCTGTCCACTTAACTTTGGCGCCAGAGAGCCGGAGGGCAGCTCCATGGTCGTGAGCAGCCGCAGAGCTTCCTGGGATACCCCCTCAGGCAGCTCTTGCTGCGTGAAACCGGTCTCTGGTGCCGATACATCGACGCCATTCTCAGTCAGGCGGCTGCTAAACCGGACGGACTTACTGGAAGGAGCTCCCGGGGTAGGAGGGAGTGGAGTGCGAGCGCCTCCAGTAGCCGTGGCAGGGCTCACGACCCAGGAGGATGTCGATTGGTCGTAGGGCGTGTGGCGAGGAGACGAGGGCGCGTAACTTTCGCGCCAGGGCCGCGAGAAGGAAGATGCAGTCGAAGGTAAATCTATGCCTGCCGGACCCGCGTTTGAGACAGAGGCATGGGGTCGTTCAGACGAGCCACCGGCCAAGGAGGAAGTGGAAGTGGACGAGGCGGGCGTGCGAAGGGAGGAGGCATGGCTTCGATCGGTATCCCCTGACAGGGAGCCAGAGAGCTCCGGCGAAGATTGTTCTGCATCTCTTTTGGAAGACGACCGGTTGGTTGCAGTGGTGGGAGGGAGGGAAAGCGAGGTGCTATGAGAGGATAAGGAGGCCGACGCCCCGGAAGCGATGGTGCCCGGGGACAAAGTTGTGGTAGATGGAAGGGGTCCAGGTGTTGTAGAGACCTCTCCACTGCTCACGAAGCCCGATTGACTGATGCTGGATACCAAAGTGCTGCTCCCCGTGGCATTGTAGCCCGCAGCGGTCCCATCCCAGGAGTCGTGCGGCAGAAATTCCTCCTGAACTGCCTCCCTGGGGGGTGCTTGCTGCCCCTCCTCTTCATTCTCATCCGGGCCATTATCCTCCTCTTCACGTGTATCACGTCCACCGTATCCGCTGTGCTCGACCGTCGCAGCAGAGTCAAGAACTGTTGCGGAAGTCGTCAAGTCCAAGTCGGTCGTCCCGTCGGAACGACGATTTGACCTCGCATCAGAGGTCCGGACCGCAGAGCTTCTCGAAGACGACTCAATCACTCTTGAGGCTAATTTATTGACAGAATGTTGGACGCCTGCGGAAGCTTCTTCCCCGCCGTCCTCATCCACCAGCGGTCCGGAGCAATCCATGGTTTCCGCAGACCCCAGCTTGTCAGTATGACTGGAGCTGGGAGCCAGAGAAATCCGGAGGCCGCTTGGTGGAGAATATAAAGTATTTTCTTGCCCATCTTGTTCGAGACTGTCACGCTGTGGCTTGGATTGCTGCGGCCGCTGTTGCCGCGGTGCTTGCTCTGGGTCTGATTCGGTCAGCCCAGGCTGACGGCGCTGTGGCTGCGATTCCGCCCGTGTGTTATGCGCTTGTTGCCCTTTACCGTGTGCAGGAGCCGACGCCGTAGCATCAAATCCTTGGTCGTCAGTCTCATCGAATGAGTCCCGCGGTAAAAATTCCTGCGCCGCCACCTCCCTTTCCCCTTCCCGCAGAGATTCCCGCCATGGTTGCTCCTCCCCGGAAAGCGGTGGCACCGTCTCGTCACCGTACTCCTGCCCTTCATACTCATATTCCTGCTGCTGTCCTTGAGTATATCGAGTCTGCCGCCCGCTCTGGTCTCCATACTGGGCGGCTTGGCCGGGCTCGCGCCGGAACCATTGCTGCTGCTCATGATCATAGTAGTACGGGTCTTCCTCTTCCTCGTCTCCTTGAGAAACAGTCGTTTCATATCCCCTGGGTGCTGCGCTGGACGTGTCCTCTCTTTTTGAAGATGAGGTCGGTGCACTGGAGCGGCGGTTGCCTCGAGCAGATCCGCGGGCGGACCATTGTCCGGAGTCCCACCCATCTCCCCTTCCTCCAACCTCTCCCTCGTCATCCCCGGTCCATTCCTCTTCCCAACCCCGAGATGTCTGCCTCCCGTACCGGCGCGTCTTGTGAAAAGATGAGGTCTTCGTACCCGGCGAGAAGCGACGAGGATTCATTCCCGGGGGGTGGCCCCGCGGCGGGCCCTTCCTCCTATAGTGGCTCCCATGGCGCTCGCCCGTCCTGTCATAGTCTGAATAAGTAGGAGAAGCACTTCGCTCATCGCACGAGCTCTGCCCCCCGCCGTAGGGCGACTGACTGCGTCCTCGGGGAGAGAGGCTGTGGTGCCGTCTCGGAGAGTATCTGCTACCACCCGAAGGCGAGCGTCGGTGGTCGCGATAGTGCAGGTCCTCACGACGCGAGTTCAACGAGGGTCGTTCCAAGGATACCTGGAGCTTGGTCACGACCAAGGAAGACGTGGGTGGAGGGGACTCCCGGCCTTGGATCGTGTCGCGGACGCGTCGCAAGGCAGCAGTAGTCACCCCTGCCTCCTCGCTCTCCTCGTAGTGGCGTCTGTGGCGGGGGGGGGCCAACGCGCGACGGTCCCTCATATCTTCCACGGGGAAGGAATGGCTGCACTGATGGTGGTGGATGTGTCGGGAAGGGGAGGGGTTCGGAGACGGCGACTGTACCACCACCACAGCGGGCGCCGGCGCCGATGCCCCTGAGCCGCACGCCCGCGGGATATACGGCGTGACATGGGGCTTGAAAGTGCAGCCACGTAGTTCACGCTCTTCCTGGAGGCGGCGCATGTGCTGCAGCTTTTTCTTCGCATCCTGGCCTTCCCGTAAGAGGCGTTTGATGACACTTCCCTCTCGAACACGTTCAGGACTGCGAGAGACGCGAGGCTTAAAAGTGCAGTGGGCAAGCTCGCAGTCCTCTGAGGAGATAAGAGGAGAATGGCGACAGCGATGACGGTGGGAAGAGTGCGACTTTTCACATTTCCGCTTGGTGCTCGCCGGATCGTCTGCATGACGATGACATTTGTGGCGACGCTTCTTCTCCGGAAGTTTTGGCTGGAAGGTACATTGTGCGGCTCGTTCTTCTTCAAGACGCTGGACCAGCCCTTCTTGTTTGGCTCTTCGAAGTCGATCATACTCCTGGAAACGTGCAGCTATCGACGATGTGTCTCGAGCGTTTGAGGATGTGGAGCGCGGATTCGGGGTCTGAAGGAAATTTCCTTTAAAGTCCTGGGGTGTGGCCGCGGGGTGATGCGTGACACGTGCCTGTCTGTTGCTCGAAAGTCTTTCGAAAACACTTAAAGGCGTGGTCCCTGCGTCGACCGATGCCGTATGGTACACTGCACGTGCCTGTAAGGCGCGCTCTCGGGCCTTGCTGCTCGAGACGAGCTGCGGCATGAACGCGTGTTCGGAAGCTTCTTCGTTATCCCGTTGAGCGCGGAGCATTTCTAGCCGACGCTCTCGCGCTGCTTGATAGCGAGCCAAGCGATCGTGCACGGGTAGTGTATCATGCAGACTTGGTGATACATTGTGAGAGAATAATTGAGGCTCAAATGTGCATCCTTCCGTCTCGTAACGATTTTTGAGGGATTCGATCCGCGCTCGCTTCTCTTTCACGTCCTGACCCGTTGGGCACAAGCGCGTACCAAAGCCATTATTTTTATCGCTTCGATGCCCTCCCTCGCAACGAGATGGTGAGACTGAGTGAGAACGACTTGCTTCGTACAATGTCGGTTTGAATGTACCTTTCGCTAGGCGAAGCTTGTTACCCAGCACAGCGCGGCGCACCTTTCGCGCTTCAGCGTCCCGGTACAATGCCTCAAAGCGGTCCATGGAAGAGCCTTGAACTTTGCTAGCAGCTTTTGGGGTAATTACAGGTTTGAAATAGCTTCTTTTCTCATAAGCGCGTTCCATTTCTCGCCTTCCAGCAGCTTTAAATTCCCTCTTCTTCGCATCCAAGTGCAGTGACAAGAAGCGATCGTCGCCGGAAAGAAAATCTGCGCGTCAAGTTGGGGGTAAATAAATCATACTATGACACGTGAAGTCTCCTTTCAAATCATGTACCATAGCACAATGGCCAAGGCCTGATTTGAGGCCCTACAGACAAGTTCACTCCACAATCCATTATTACACTTAGTACATGAGCACATTTCTCTAAAGAAGAGGAAGCCCCGTGGCCGAGGGCAAGCATTGTACGACATACGATATATTCGGACTCGTACCTTCCTTTTCCATGGCTTTGCAGAAAATTTTGGATTACTTAGTTGCCCGTAGGTCTTGACTTACTTTTTGTCCAACCGTCGGAGGTTAGCCTTCCATGCTATATCGGAATTCGCGAAGTTCTGAAGTGCTATGCAGGATCCCTGATGATTAAAATATAAATCTGCGTCAGCATGTGCCATCGAGCAAATTACACGAAAGGAAAAGCTGAAAGCCTATCAAAATGGCGCGCTGACAAGTGTCCGAGATCTCTTTCACGATATTCAACGGCTTTTTGAATATTAACGGTCCGACGAGTATGTAGAGGCCACTGACAGCGGCCCCGGGATTACCGACACCTGCACTGAATTCGTATAATATTTAATTTTCGCGTCAAAGATTGACACGCCTTTATGCATCTGGGATTGATGGAGCTTTCTAAATTTCGCACCTTTTCCTTTAATAAAAAAAGGGAGCAGTAACATATTCGGACGTGGAGGCATGGTCACATCTTCACAAAGCATGACACGTTTTGTATGTATTCTTTTTTTCCCCATACAGACCGCACTTCTTTCCATCCGAGCGTGGTTATTTATACACATGTAGTATGCTCGCAAAAAATAGAGATATGTCCGTCGAAAGGCTTGAAATTTCCTACAGATTTCAAAACCAGATCAAGGCCGACAAGGCAACATAGCTTCCATCACTATTTGTGGGAGTGATGGTAATAACGTGTGACCCCGGTTTGACTTTCCACTCCGAAATCCAGCAATTGGGTGGCTGCGAGGATTCCTTGTCGTAAAGACTTGACGACTTGACCATTGAGACGCGCTTTTCATCTATTTTTACTACCGCATCATCTTTCAGATCTCCACAATGCGCTGGCATGTGTCCCCATACCTTTGGCGGTTGACAAAAGAAGATATGATTTTCGCTTCGTGATTTGACAGCCAACTTTAAAGGCCCAGCTTTGTGATTACCTTGAAGCACGTACTTCATATCCAAGTATTGAAAACCTTGTTTTTTCGAGAAGACCACAGCATCAAAGTCGGCGGCATACAGCTGCACGTGCCACAATTTGGGCTTTTGAGGCTCAACGGTAGGCTTGGTCGATCTTAAGTTCGCAGGTGAGAGAACGAGGTCGAGCAGTGACCCTTGTTCTTTGGGCTCGAAAGTCATAGCGCATGAAGCCGGAGAGCCACAGAAAAAGTGGTCACAGTACAAAGGGGGAGGGAGGCCCAACGTAGCGTCTTCCACATTTTCTATTCCTGCGGAATAGGTACCCATGTCTTTTCTGACAGCACTGTCAGCACCATCTATGATATCTATTGTGGGATTATCTTGGCCAGTCTCGGAAAATGTCTCTTGTACCACGACAATAGCATCGTCCAGTAATCTCAGATAGTGGTGTGCCAATATCTGAGCCCGAAGCAAGTGTCCACCCGGACCTGGATGCCATTTCGCAGGTTTTGGCGTCGGTTTCCCCGCCTGGACCAAAGCATGAAAGTTGTATTTGTCAAGGTGATCCAGCTTCCAGACAGCCTCATGCATTGCTTGCGAATGCACGCCAAAAGCATCATAATACTCGAACAAATCACCTTTATCTCCTCCATAGCTGAACGGAGGTGGAGGCCCGGTGCGGGCGTCTACTGGAAGTGCGCCCTCCGCATCAGGCTCACGAGCACCCTCCCCACCGTTAAGCATGAGGAGAGCGGGACGTTTCGGCAAGTACAAAGCATTTCGCATCCACTCCTCCACGTAAGCGTTCTTGAGAGGCCCACTGACCATCATCTCGAACTCCCAAGCCGCCACATCCGTGTCTTCTCCTAATTGGCTCCTCACACAGAATGCCGCGGGAATGGCAGGATTGTTTCCCATAGCATGATTTCGGA